CAGGATCACAACTCAGTCTCAACTTTTTCAGTTCCTTCAATTACTCTGATGACTGACAAAATTTGGGAAACAGGAGCACCAAGTTCTAAGTTCTTCATACTCCCACGCTCAAAACATCTTCACATAAAACTATAAATAAACATCAACTTCCTATCTACAACAATAAATGTCAAGGAGCCAATTTTTTTTTAATCTATAATTTCGTTTCTATGGCTCATTTAAAAAATAAAAATAAAACAGTACTTCCGGTCCAGTGCAGTGACTCATGCCTGTAATCCCAGCAACTTTGGGAGGCCAAGGCGTGAATGTCACTTGAGCTCAGGAATTTGAGACCAGCTACAGCAACAAAGTGAGATGCTGTCACAAAAAAAAATCAGCCAGGTGTGGGGTGTGTGCATGTAGTCCCAGCTACATGGGAGGCTGGGAAGGGAGGACTGATTAAGCCTGGAAGGTCAGGGCTGCAGTGAGCCTTGATGTCATCAACACATTCAAGTATGGGTGACAGAGTAACACCTTACCTCAAAAAAAAAAAAAAAAAAATCACTAAAAACTTTTTTAAAGAAAAAACAAAAAAGTACTTCCTAATATTTTCTTAACTGCACCTAAACATCAGCGTAATGTGATTATAATTTAGAGCCTAGTTTCAAATCACAGGCCTGTCACTACTAGTTGGGTGGCCTTGTATATTTTACTTAACCTCTGTAAAACTCAGTTTACCCATGTGTCAAATGTGTAAAAAAATCACTCCTTCACACACACACACACACACACACACACACACACACACACAAAATACTCCTCAAATGGTAGTTCTAAGAATTATGTAAAATGGCTTGTAAGCTAAATGTTTAAAACAGAAGTCTGCTACTCAATGGATATTCATGGCCTATTATATGCAAGACATCATTAATTAATGTCTTCCCCTATTTTCCTCTGTATGCTTTTCGATATTAAAAAATATATACTTTTAAAGTATATCACATGAAAGTATGCCACTTGAGAAAAATCTACTTACAGCTACCAAGTTTCTCTGCATTTTAAATGATAGAACCACTACAAAGAACATGTCAAATTTATAAGGCAATTTTTAAAAAAAAAAACAATTTTCACTAAGAACAACACATTCACCATTTACTTGATACAAGTATTACTTTGGATTTACTTTGTGTTTCCTTGGTCTAACTTATTTACATGTTAAAAAGCTTATTATGCAAATTCAAGAATGAATAAAAGGAAAAGAAAAGTGACTGACAAAAGTATCTGAAGTATGCCAACACAACTTTTGTGAAAATAACCTTCTTGTCTTGGAAGTTTACAAGGTGGAGCTGACAGATTGTGAGAAACATGGAAGTCTTGTGTTCTTGGAGCAGGGAGGAGAGGCAGTTAATGGTTACAAATTAAACTGCAAAATCTCCGTCAAATATGGGATATAGTGATTTGAAATACGTCTTCTGCACTAATCTCTCACCCAGCCTTCTAATTCAGAAAATTCTTTTGCAATACACAACTGGTATGGCTTTGCCCCGATAGGTTCATATAATGAAAATAAATGATCTGTTTCAAGAAAATGGATACTGGTGTCTATCATTCGAATTTTAGTTCACCATAACCCTGAACAATGAAAGAGCTGAATATATGACTCATAGCTTCTTCATGACTCAGTTTGCTATGGGAAACTAGCCTTCCTAAATACTCAAAAATCCTCCACTTCTATAGAAAATCACAACACATGGAAAAGTGACTTCGAATGTAAAAAAAGATGTTCTATTTTCCAGTGTGACAATGTGCAGAATGTAGTATAATGTGCAAAACCCAACAGTTCACTTCTCAAACTAGTGGTTTTGGTAATTCTACCTATAACAAAAATTTGTGTATGTATCTGTGTGTGTGTGTGTGTGTGTCTGTTTGTGTGTTTTTAAACAACAAAGAATTAGTGGTTACCAGGCACTGGGGATAAAAGGGATGAGGAGTTACTGTTTTATGAGTATAGAAAGTTTCAGTTTGAGGTGAGGAAAAAGTTCTGGAGATGGACATTAGTGGTGGTTATATAACAGTGTGGATATACATAATGCCACCAAACTGTACACTTAAAAATGGTTAAAATGGCAAACTGTATATTTTACTACAATAAAAAATTTCAATGTTATTAGTCTTAAAAATGACACTAGATTAAAGAAGAATGTGTTGTTACAAATTCTTGTTCATCTAGGCCAATGATAAAAATTCCCCAAAGCAACAAAGTTAAAATGAGCGCCCAATTAGATTGAGTGAATCAACATAACAAAACCATTTTGTCATTATTGAAAGCTACTAGGCATGCCAGGAGAGTGTACTTACTGAAATTCTGAAATACGTGTGTCTGTGCATAGACATGTAAATATATGTCTAAATACATATATATATATATATATACACACACATATATACACATAGATACTGCACATGTTTATGGCCAATATAACAATAAATTTGTATAACCATATCTTTATTAGTCAAATAGTAAAAAAACAAACAAAAAACTCTGGTGGGGTCAATATATAACACATAATTTAAAAGACTGTCACTAATATAGATGATGCGGGGATGGATGCAGCAAACCACCAAGGCACGTGTATATCTATGTAACAAACCTGCACATTCTGCACATGTGCCCCAGAACTTAAAATAAAATAAATAAATACAAATAAAAGATTGTCACTATAGCATGAATCAGACTTGCACACACTGTCTAAATCTACATCTATAGATGTAGAAACTACTATAACAAAATAGTTATGAGAATGGTGTCTACATATCTGAGTCTCCCATCCATGCCAAGAAAACTGTGTTGGTTTCTATTTGCTTACCACTAGTCCCAGAACGAGGGTGCGAACTCTTTCTCCTATCTCAGGTGAAATGTCATTGCCAAACTGCTGCAGGGTAGTAAGGAACCTTTTCAGCTTGCTGAGTTGCCTGGCGCCACAGGCTGGGGGCAGCTGTTGATTAGCCAAAGAGGAGGAGGAAGAAGAGGAAGGCCCGTTGCTGAAGCCATTGGGTGGAGAGGGGGCACCATTCAAGGCTGTAGGAGAATGGCTCGTGCCATTAGTTACTGTCAAGAGCACAAAATCAGAAGAAAATCATAAACTTACAGAGGACATGCATGAGGAAATTGCCACCAAGTCTCTTACCTTTTACATCTACTGGTTTTATAACTTTTAAATGTTGGGACTTTTGGTAAAATGCTTGGACTTCACAGGGTTACTGCATCCTCAGGTACTCTATAACTAAATGGGTTTACTCCTCGTACTAAGTGATGGTATCCTGCACAGAGGCTGATAATAAATAGAGTCTGCTGCAACCTAGAGTCAGCCCTGTCTCCCATGTGCACATATGCCAACCACCTGAAATGCTTCAAACATAGAACAAACAGCTTCGGATGTCAGCCTTTTGTCGCAGGCTTACATCAATATAACAGGACTATTTCTTTACAAACTGCTCCCCTAGAGAACGTGTACATTTGGTGGAGACTAAATTTATCATTGAACATTTTTAATCATGTTTTGTACACACAACTGACAGCTGTGTTTATAGGAATAGGACTTTCAAGTTTTAACCTTCCACCACCCAATTAGAAGGCTATTTTCTCCCCCTCATACTTCCTAACCACTTCTTTAGAAAATGCATATTTTACATACAAAGCCAACATGGATATAGTGTTTAACAAGGTGTTACTTCAAGAAATCAAAATGGGACACCTCAATCCAGCCAAGAGCATGGAATGGTGGTAATTCAGCAAATTCATTTCTGATAAATTTGTTTGAACATCAAGATGATAATCCCTATCACTCTGTAACCCATAAATACATGCATTAAAACATATAAAAAGAAAGCAAAAAAGTTGATAATCCATAATAAACAGAATTTTTAAATCTGCAACCTTTGCATTAAAGAAAATGTTGATTTTATCATGTTAAGTCAATTAATTTGGTATGCAGACCTTTATCAAACCCATCTTTTTAATATAATTTTGATATAGTTTGAAATTGTCTTAAGGACCATAGTATTCTTAAAAGTTTCATTTTGACAAAATAATATGGTTCTCTTGTCCCCAGTGAGTATCACAGTAACCTGTCAAGAAATGCCAGCTCACCAGGACGTCTCACAGGAGACATCTGCTTACCCCATGGCTTTGGGTAACAACAAAGCACATATAAGATGACAGGGTTACAACTTGGCATTGCACAGTCGCCTGCTCCTTACATATTTGGAAAGGTCTTTTAAATGGCAGCGCAACATGGCATAAATAGCCTGGGATGTGTATTTTGCTAATCCCTTATAGTCCCACAGATCTATTTTTGCCTTTTAGTTATTTTTTATTCATATGGATTTCATAGCACATAGTGTGAAAAATAGCTGCAACCGATAACATTTATTAGTTTCACAAGTCCTTGATGACAATTTCAACCAAGACTTTGAGATTTATTAAAACAAAGTTATCAACTATCCCTAATGAAATATACAGGAAAGAATGGGAAGTTGCAATTCTGTCATAATATTCTGTCTTTTCCTTTGGATTGTACCAAAAGCAATACACTCCACTGACAGAACACAGGACTTGGGCAAACGGGAATGGAGTAAAGTTTTACTAAAAGTCTAATAGGTTCAAGACAAGAAAGATGCTTTTCACTTTATAAAGTTTTCTGTATGATATTGTTGCATATCAATACCCTTTTTAACTCAAAGATGTTAGATTTTAACATTATTTGTAACAGTTTGAAATAGATGAAAATGGTGTTAGAAGATCAGAAGTAACCAAGAAATAATGATAGCATATTTTCGTGTCCCAAGGCATGCTGAAAAAACTAAAATAAAGAGTTCCACATTAAGATGAATTAGAAGTTACAGTGGTACCAACTGCAATTACAGACCAACTGCTACTTCATTTGCTAAAATCATAGCAGACTACAACTTTGAAGCAATAATAAAAAGGAAGGCAAATATTGGCAGTCATACAAATTATACCTAAGCTATGATATTTCTCTGCTCAATACCTACTCACTGGCAAACAAATGATTTTTTTTGCTTCATTTCTGCATAATACATTGATGCTGAATCTTATTTTCCCTTCATTTTTCATTTGCAGAGATAAATCTAATTTAAACATTAAAACTGAAACTCAGAAGCCTGAAATGACTACTTACACGTTGTCGGTGTAAATGAACTGGTTCTTGGAGCTCCTTGAGTAGTTGGGGGAGGTGGCATCGTTGGAGGAGTCAGCCTAGATTGCGTCTTCACATCCACAGGTGAGTCTGGCATTGTGGAGTGCTTCTCAGTACGATCTGGAGGATGCCACCAGGAACATATTATTTTACTCCTTAAGCACCTCAATTTTTCAAGTGGGGTTTATCTTTTTTAAAAGCAAGTGAACAGAAGAAATTCAACATCTTCTATCAATAAAATATGCTTATCTACTGAAGTTTAAATCAGGATTTTATCATCCAAACCCCACTTAAGAAGGTATAGCACAGATGGCAGGACCTCATTTGTAACTAGGTTATATTATATCCTATTGTTATTTCTGGCTTAGGCAGATGCTACCTTGGTAGTGTTATATGCAGCAGCACAACTGCACTGGAAGCTGCAGCCAATGTTAGCAAGAGGTAGAAAATAGATGAGGAAGTAGGATGATAATGAACTCCTCATGACAGCTCAGAAATAACAAAAACCTGAAGTCTGTTATGCAGGTGAGACACTGGTAGGAGCCAGCTCTTTGTAATGATTTTCTGTAACACCTGCCTTCCCTTTGCCATCTTTAGTTTTCTGGCCTCCTAGCTGAAACAAGTTATTGTCTTCCAGACATATTTCACACTTCAATATTTCCTGCCCTGTTTTAAAAATCACTGCTATGTAAGTGTCATGTACTATACAACAAAGTGAAGCTATTATTTACTTCGAATGTGTAAATTTATGACCTGTCATTTTAAAAGCATGAAATCAATATTCCAATTAATAATCTCAGAGTAAGAATGTAAAAGTCCCACATGGAGAACTAAAAAGAACTAGACACTTTTAATATTTTTCTCATGAGTATGTAACAGATACGAAGAAATTTCTTGATTATCCAATAATGGACATTCATACTTCAGAACTGCTTTCTCTTAAGTATGCTTTTCCCTTGACAGTTTGAACTGTTTTTCTCAATCTAATCTACTTATCAACGCAACAGACTTTTTGATCTGCTCAAAGCAATTTCTTAACACTTCGGTTGCAATAAACACTTAAAGGTTGAAACAATGTTGGTATCATTTTAAGAAAGATGCAATAAAAACAATCATCATTTGAATAAGAACATTTGCATGATGAGCTAGTCAACAGCAGTATCACAGTCTATTTTTGGTTCTTTAGATCCAATTCTTTCACAAACATGTGGAGGCATGCACATGAACACACAAACACGCCCAAAATGTTTTGAGGCAACTCTTGCAGTTATAGACACAAATACCTCAGACTTGGGCTTTTAGAAAAGTGAAGTAAATATTATGAAAGAATAAGCCTTTAAAAATGTTATAATAACCACAGTCAGAAATTCTCAAAATTATTTAAAGGTCAATTATTGAAAGAAAAGGAAAAACCCAAATCACTACTATCACAATTCCAAATCTACCTCACTTTTGTTCAAAGCAATTTGAACGCTTGGGTTGCAATAACACACAACGTTTAAAATTTGAAATAATGTTGATATCACTTTAGGGAAGATACAATTAGAGAATGAAAATAATCATCATTCTAATAAGAGCGTTTGCACAATGAGCTGCTATTATTATTATTGATGAGTTAACAGCAATATCAGGGTTTCTATTTCTGAATCTCTGCTGCTGACTGAATAAAAACGAATGTCCCTATAGTGAATAAAAGTGTTTAGAGTGGAAGGATGGTAGGGACACACATGAAGAGCATTTTCAGCATTGTCTACTGTTAAAAGCTTGTCTTCAGATTGCTATTCAGAGCATTTAACAACCAGTAAGTCACTTATTCTAGAAAAATACAGAAGTTAGGCAGGCTTAAAATTGCTTTTTCAATAGTTAAATTCATTGCACATTCTACTCACCTCAACCAACCTCAGCAACAAGGGAATAAATAGCTTCCCGCTTATGTTGCAGCTGAGGGAAGAGGTACAGCAGCAAATACAAGTCTCCCTAAATAAAGGCAAATATTTCTGTCATGCCAAGGAGGGAGGGAGAAAGGGAGTCTTGCCAGAGTCGACTGGGAGATAACAGTGGGAACTGCTGGTCCATCTGGTTTTCATTCTGCTAACACTCACACGGAACTGTTAGAGAAGGCAGTCCAGAAACACAGATTTGAAGCACGTGGTTGCACAGACAGAGAAAGGAAGAGCAGGACGGGGAAGGGGAAGTGGGAGTAACAAAAAAATAAATAAAGCAATAGGAGGAAAAAGAAGAAGAGGGAAAAGAACAAAAAGAAGAGGAGGAAAAAGACAAAAGAGCTTGATTGGGGAGTCAG